CGCCCCGTTCCAACCGAACCGGTTGGAACGGGGCGAGAAACCCACCCCTGCCCAGTCCATAGTCCAATCATAATTCACCCAACTGTCAGATGGGAGACATCTTCGAAAATCATCATCAGGATGAAATGCTGGACAGTTGGCCTTGGCGGGAAACTCCCTTCCTTCTGCATGCGCAAAGAGATGGTGAGAATAACTCCCTAATTAAACAGTACTCCAGCACAGAATGATTCCCCTCCCCCCAATACCATCCCCCCCTCCCTGTTTCAATGGCAGCTGAAAAGCAGCAGCGAAGCAGAGACTGACACTAGTGGTATCCCAAAGGCAGCAAGCAATGTGAGCACCTTTGTCCCCCCTCCTCCCGGCTCCTGCGGCTTGGCGCCTTCGGGATATCGCTAGGTTGGTGAGTGGCACTCTGCCTGGCTGGGAGGGGTGTCCAGGGGGCTTGTTTTCAGGAGGGGCTTATATTTTTGCCCAACCAAAAAATGTGGCAAGGCCTTAGTTTCAGGACTGGTCATCTTTTCGGGAAAACACGGTAGATGAATTCTTGGTTGAGTCCAGCGAGCTGATAGGGGGAGCAAGTACAACTTCCCAGTTATTCCAGAAGAATACTAGGGTACTAATTGATGGAATTCTGAAGGAGAATTCTCAGAGTGTTGTGTGTGGATAGGTGGGTTGGTATCTCCACTGAATGGAATCAGTTAATGAGGCATATTTGGGGGTGCCGTGCCTTCTTTCAGTGTGACTATAGATTTACTGAATACAGGATTGCATAGATTAAACATTTTTCTTTTCATTAGACTATCATGACATTTTCCCTTCATTGAAATGAATACATGTAAATCATTGCTTGTAAATCGCTTTGAAGAGAGATGGGCGGCAAACAAATTTACTAAATCAATCAATCAACATTTTTATTTTTTTTATTTTTCAGGAAACACAGCAGTGGGGAACAAGACACAAGCACACTTCCTTCACCACCACTCCTTTCCACCGTGGATGATCATAGCCAGGTAAGTCTTGGACTGAATAGGGAGCCTCTTAAAGAGGCTCAGAGTGGAAGGCCTGCATTGAATGTTGGCTTGTGGATCAGTTTTCAAAAGCAGCAACTTGACCAAATGGAGATTCAGATTAAGCCGCTTTCTTAAACTAACTTCCTAAATTAAAGGCTGGTGACTCCCCATTTAAGGAGGGGTTGGGGGAGGGTGTAAAGTCATTTTTCCCTCTCCTTGGGGACCGAGTGTGAAGCTCAGATGTCCTCCTTGCTCTTGCAGGACAATAAAACGAAAACTTGGCCCCCGAAGGCTCCTTGGCAGCACACGCAGTCGGGCCCAAATATGTCTTTATATCAGCTAAGCAGCCCTGCCAGCCACTGGAACGACACCATGCAGATGCTGCCGTCTCCCGTTTGGTCAGCCGCCAATGACTGCCCTCCGCCCACAGGGATGGTCTCCCCGTTTGCCTACACCCAGCAGCCTCCGCAGTCACCACCATTGCCCCTGGCTCAGCACAAGCAGGGGCACAAGGGCTTTAAACCTTTTCCGGGCAAGCACGAGCGTCGGCCATCCTATCTGCCACAGTACTGATGCCCCGTTTCCTCCTGGCCGGAGAAGCAGCAGCCGAGGACCAAAGTCTTTGGTATGATCCGGGCTGGCTTGGTTTCGGCCTGCTGGGGGTGGGGTGGGGGGAGTCGACAGCTTTGGTAGTGAAGTTTCTCGTTCCTGGCAGCCCTTGGCACACGGTGTCTACACAACAGCCTAAACTGTGACCCTTTCAAAGCCTATGGATGCCCCGGTAACAAATGGTGACACGCTTACCACAGAAAACACTGTATTTTATAGCTATTTTTTCATATAGATTTATAGTTACCATTTCTTGCTAAAACAGATTTGAGTATTTTTAAGCCAATCTAGCAGTTTTGCTCAATGCTCATTTTCTTCAGATTTCTAATTGACAAAATTATAAAGTCTTCGCTCTGAATTTCACAGGCTGTGATAGCTTTTTTAATGCAGTAGTTGCTAATATGCTGCAAACTTTGAAACAGGAGTGGGGCAAACAACGACTGAAAACCTAATTCTTTCCAGTTATTTAGTTTGTGCAAAACAGCTGGAACCGCTCAAAATCTGTGAAAAGTGATCTGGCCAAGCAGTGAGCACCGTCCACCTCCATGAAGCCCTTTGGGTGGGTTTATGACACTACATCTGATACTCTTACATTTGGCCAAAGGCATTATCCATACAGTGCTCCTTAAATATATGAAAGAATAGTTAAGACTGCTTGCAAATATAAGTCTTATTTCAATGCTAGACTTAGTGTGTAAAAACATGAGCTGGCTCAGAAGAGAGAGAACTTAAAACACTATTTTTTGTAGTGCTAAGAATTAAAATAAAGTACTTACAGTCAATATGTGCCATTAAATAAATGAACCTGTGGGATTAGAGATATCTTCCAACCAAAGTGGATCTGGGGAATGACTGGTGCTTCAAATGGGAAAAAGGTAAATATGTATAGTGATCCCATTGTATATTAATTGAAGTGAGAGAAGTCTTTATAAAACCTATTTAAATTTTCATATTTCATCTTTGAAAGAGTAATTATAAACCACAATATTTTCTGGTATAAAGGTTTTTGACAGTATTAATATTATTTTTATATTTTCTTAATTCATATCATTCTAATACATTGACAAGTAAAATGGGTTATTAGTTATAAATACACATAGTTTTTGATGAAGATAAAAGCACATTTAAGTTCCCATTTTCTACAAACTTACATGTGTATATTAAAGATACCAAATTTATACATATATATATATGTGTATATATGCATATATATGTATATATATATGCATATATATATACATATATATGCATATAT